GGGGGATTGTTACATTTAGAGAGAGAGTAGAGATGGTGGGGAATTTGATTAAAGAGAGAGTGAGAGAGTATGGGATGGTGGGGACTCTGTTTTGGAAGAGATGAAATAGCGGCTGGTTCGATAGCGTCACTTGGAGGTTTTGGTAGTAATTTTGTTTCGGTCAGCTTGTCTATCTGTCTCTGTCTGCCTTACTATTTCTGTGAGAGTGCGTGGCAGGGGGTCTGTGCTGGGAGGTAATAGAAGAAATGGGGGGGGGGGTTGAAGGTGGATGATATTGGAAATCTGGAGCATCAGTTAGAAGTGAAGAAGAGGGAAAATGGCAGATGGTTTGAGGTATCACTTTTGGGTGGATAAGAGGAAAAAAGTGGGTGGTTGGAGGAGGTCACTTGTAGGTGGATGAGAGGGGAGGTTGAGAGCACCAATGAGAGGTGGATAAGTGGAAAACTGGTGGTTTGGGGACATCCTTTTTTTTTGGTAAGTGTTTTACGGCGCTCACAACTGCAGAAAGGTCATATGAGGGTGCGGGACACACCAAACATTTTTTCAGTTGGTAGGAAATTTTGAATTTTGACATGGTGGCGGCTGAAGCCTACTCTGATCGATTTTAGATCACCAAAGGATCTTGAACGTGCACAACTTGCACACGGGGCCTCCAAGATTTTTCGCCCTTGTCTGAGAAGGCTAGATGTAGATCTAACCTACCATAAGATCAGGGGTGTAGCTGAAAGACAGCAGTAAGAAGGAGCCAAGGAGAAGCAGTAGAAAGGCTGCAGAAAGAGTCTGGAGCCCAGAGGAGGGGGCAAAGGAGGTGAGGGGTTGGGGGCAGAAAATGGAGACGAAAGCGGACTACAGAACATTATTAGAGAGCAGGAAAGGGTGTGAAAGGGGATATCCATCACAATCCGGATTCGAACTCACGACTTATTGAATGAGGGACGAACACCTTATCCTCTAGACCAGGAGAGCCCCCATCAGATGGTATGTGGACATCTTTTTGAAGTGCTTAAGAGGGAAATGACAAGTGGTTGGAGGGCATCCCTTGGCGGTGGATAAGTAGTAAATGCGAGATTGGAGAGTGTCACTCCAAGCTGTTGGTAGTTTTTTAAATTTTTTTTTAGGTCAGTTTGTCTGCCTCTGTCTCACTGTATCATTGTATTGCATTAAAGACATTGGTTGTATTTCTCTGTGACATAAGGAAGATTTTCACGTAAAATTATCCAGCTCGGACTTCCTTTTTCCTTTCTGCTATAGACAGGGTGTTGGTGGAGAGCACCACTGGTAGGTCCTACTTCTTTTCTTTATAAACCAACTTCGCGGCAGAGACTAAGAAAGTATCCCCCCTGGGATAGTGCCACTGACTGAAGTGTCTTTAGGCCATTCCCAAAGGGGGGACATTAACTTGTTCTTATGCACAGTAAAATTGTAAATCTGCTGATTCAACAATGCCATGCCATAACTTTTCCTGAACTGCAACAGTTATCATCATTTTTGCTCTACTTCTTTTGTATGTTTGTTACACTCTTTGACCCGCTATTTCCGGGGTGCTTTGATTGTCATTGTGGACTGGGATGTCTGTGGACTGCCTGCCCACCCTGAGAGGAGGCCATTCATGTAGAGGATAGGAGGGTACAAGGGGTTTTCATGAGACTGGAAAGACATAACTGCGCCGTGACCGTGTAGTTCTGGTAAGGTTCACGTTGCCCATTCCCCGCCACCAATGGCTACTGGCTATAGTTGTCTACTCTTGCATGAGGTTTTGGCCAAGTGGGAAAGCCATTTGATCGTCACATCCTGGGTTGTTGTGCCTTTGCTAAGAGGTCCATGGTTAGAAGGCAAGTCAAGCACTCCGCTCGGTCCATCCCCTGCACCCAGACATTCTCAAACTGCCTGGTATCTTCTCAGCCACAGAGCAGTAGAGGTGTTCTACCACACATGGGTGGGTTTTGCCTCCTGCACCTTATGGGGCCAGACCTGCTCCCATCCTGTTGTTTTAACCCCTCTAGGAAATGAGGGGGGGGGGGTTGGTTTGTTGGCGCCAACAGCTCGCCATTTGCCAGAGTCGTGTCAGTGAAAACAGGGACCACCAGGGGTAGGTACGGTTGACTGGATTAGGAGAAGCTCTGTGAAACGCTTAGGCATTTTTCTGTATTTGAATGAGACCCATTACCAGTCCTTGATCCTCGGGGTGCCTTGATAGTCAAAGCAGACTTTGTGCTATTGAAGCTAGAGAGGTGAGCAGAGTAAGCTGATTCCCTGTTAGGACATCTGTGTTGACATCCACCCCTTGGCGCTCATATGACTTTATGCAGTTGCGAGCACCGTAAAACCTCTACTAAAACTAGAGATTAAGAAAAGAGATGTTAATTATTATTATTATTTACATTTATTTCTTTCCCCCAGGCTCCAACTCCAGTTCAAGAAAGTGTTGGAGGAGAATCCCCAGGTGACCCCAGGCAAGCCTCTCTCAGAGACCTATGTTTTCTTCTTGGGCAAAGAATGCTTCTCCAGCCTGGATGAAATGGAGAGGAGTCAGGTGAGGCAGAAATGTTGCATGGGTAGTTGGAGGGCACCACCGGTAGATCTATTAACTCGTGACCTCAGTGCTTTCTTGTCGTATTTCCTTTTTTAATAATTGTGAAAACAGTTCATAACAAAGAGTGAACTTTAAAAGAAGTCACTTTTTCATTGTTTATAAAAATGGAGATACGACAAGAAAGCACTGAAGTCGCAAATTGTCCACATGTTAACCCTCATCATACGGGAGCCGGGTTTATGTTGCCCGATAAGCCTATTTCGGCACCTTGCCTACGTTCTGGTCCCGAATCAGTGTAGCCCCTGGCTCAGCGCACGCGCAGCGCGCGTCCTCTTACGTGTCATTCGGGTCCCGAGTCGGATCCCCATTCACGCAGGTCAAGTGTGTGTGCGTCAGTCTGCTTGAGTTTGTGTGCGTTTGTGGCCTTCTTCTAGAACCGCCTGCATTGGTTCGTAATCGAGGCGTACGTCTCATTCAAAACATGCCAAGTTGGTCGCTCCAGATGTTCGTCCAATGAAATTATAGAAGAAATTGACCCACTTAGACATGAGGAGCTCGAAAGGATAGTCAGGAAACAAGACTTCCATTTTTCTATACAAAATATTTCAAATGAGCTTGATTTTGCGTGAAATGATACTACCTGATAAAAATAAGCTTGTTTATTAGTTTTGAATACCATTGTGCAGGTGCAAAGAACAATTTGAGGGTAAAACATTTGGAAATTGACCTAAATTATCCCCTTTCGAACTTCAGGTCATTCATAACAACAAGAGCGTCCAGAAAGGTTATTCGAATGGGCGTAACTACTCGTAATGTCTTATCAGCTTGTGAGAGGGGGTTATTCATGTGTTTGTAACACTTTATAAATAGAAAGCTGTGAAAGATAGAGCGTTATTTTCATCATCGGTTAACACACTCCTGCGGTATTCATGGCGAAAACACACGTTTCCTGGCGCGCGTGCTGTACACCGACAGTACACACTGAGTGACCCCGGCGGCCTGCCCGGCACGTCCGACGTAATCGGTTGCTGATAAGATACGCATCTGGGCACAGACGCAGGATAAGAGTTAATACAAAAAATGAAATCCCTCAGTGTAGCACCCACATGTTGAGAGTTAGATAGGTGCTAAAACAAGGAGATAGAAAAAGAAGTGGAAAAAGAAGGAGAAGAGAGGTGGGAGGGAGGGAGAAATGAAAAGACATAGAAAATATGTGTCCTGTCTCTCATTTAATGTTGTTGCTCTGTTTGTGTGTGCAGGTGTATGAGCAACACTTGGGAGAGCTGCGGGCAGCTGCGCGGGCCCAGTTTCAAGAGCTTCTTTGGGAAAAGTCCCATGTATTCATGGTGTGGAACACAGCAGAGAGACTCACGCAAAAGGACCTGCAGAGCATCACAGCAGCCCTGCAGGATGACCCAAGGTAGGCTACTACTGTATACCTGCATCTGTCTTTTCCCTCTAGCTAGACCTCTTTTTCAGGTGAAGGTGGTCTTCTCAAGACTATTGTAGTCCCTTGTGCATTTCAACTGCTTAGTGTAAGACTCCGCCGTATTCCATTTTGAAAAGTGATTTATGATGGAGTCTTACACTGAGCAGTGGATTTGGATTGACAAATTGACGTAAGAGTTCTTGAACTCTCACGCCTTTTTTGTAGTTTTAGAAAGAGGCACTTGCAACGCAATTAAGTGCTGAAGATTAGAGGCGTTACAAGAGAGTAAAAAACACAAAAAAAGAAAGGAAAGATCAGGAAGATAGATGTTTGATAGGAAAGTAGGAGCAAACAACACCAAAGCACCTATAAACCATCCACCAAACAGGAGTCTATGTAGACTTTCAATGAAGACTTGGGAGATGGCGGAAAAAGGAAAGGAAACAACCCAACACAGTTCCTTTTAGTCTCAGTCTTAGTAAAAGAAGGAGCAAACCACTACAGAGCACAAATGGTGTAGTGGTAAGAGTGTGTGGGTTCAACCACCCTATCAATATTATGAAGTTATTTAAGAGGCTAAATTAAATGTCTGTCTCTGATAGGATCAAGCCAAATTTGTTGAGAGCCTTGAAAACGCACCAATTAATATCCCGATGTGAAAAACCACCGTCTGGCATTCGAACCTGAGTCATCTGCTTCGTAGTCCTGCTGATACCAACTGAGCAAACGTAGAACCCAAATGGCTCTGGTGGGGAAAGAGTTAAAATCATATGTATTAAAATTTGTTTATTGGGTTTGTTTTTCTCTAAAAAGTGGTGCAAATAAGTGCTGTGTCTTCAGAACCTTCTTTTACTATATTATTAGAGTCAGAGCATTTTTTTATTTAGTTGTGGCAGGTGTTCGGAGGATGCCATTGGTAGGTCTTGTGTATATTTCCTTTTCTTACATTCACCTGTCCGCCTTGCTTGTCCATGGCCCTTAATGGCTGTTAATAATGTTATTGTGTGGACGTGATGCTCTCTGTTCAAAACTCAAGACTGATGTTTGATCTTGTTTTTCCAGGTATAAGGCTCTGCATCGTCTTGAGGAGGACAGAAAAGTAACAATTCTCAACCACTTGGGGTTCATTCAGTCTCCTTCGCGGGGCCGATGCAGCTTTGGAAGCTTCTGTATAGACACTCAGGTGGAAAACTTACTCGGGGAACGTGCAATCAGGTCAGAGTGACTTTTGATTTACTTGTAATAATCATAATCATAATAATGATAATATCATTTATGTAGCATATTTCCATGCTGTGCAGCATGTGCCATTTGCTTTACGACTATTATTCCCCACCAGAACCCGGAAACATTTTTGGCTTCTGGGTAAGCGTACAGTGCGAACTGTAGACTGCACATGCTAAAGCACCGACAAAATGACAAGATCTTTCACTGTCTGTACTTCAGTATTCTTCCTCTTCGTCTGATTGCGGGGCCGATTTTACTTTTATATATCCTTTTGTGTTGAAAAACGTTATCTTACTTCATTTTTTATGTTGGTTAATGGAGTGCGTCTTTGGTAGGTCGTCCTTCTCTTCTTACTCTTTGTTGCGTCTATTTGATTAAAAAAAATTTTTCTGCACTAAATGGCTGCTTTAGTGTTGAGATGATTCTTTAAAATATTCTAACCCAAACTGTGTCTTTGCTCCCCATTGTGAGAAGCTGTCATATAAACAAAAACACATTCTTCTTTATTTTAAAAAATTGATTTTCTTTTAATTTTTTTCTCAGGATAAAACAAAATGTTGGGGGAAATAGGCAAGAAATGTACCTCACCACAAATGAAGTAAAATGGTGGAATAAAGACGATTAGATAACTTACATTTTTTGTTTGTGCTGTTTGTTTTGTTAGTGCTGTTTGTTTTGGTTTTCTGTGCTGTAGACAATTTTTTTTTAGATTCCTAAAGAATTTCCAAATGTAGTTTCATTTTGGGGTTGATATGTTTGGTGCGTGTGACGATTGTAATGATTTGTGTGTCGCTTGTATCACTCTTCACCCTTTGTTTTCTCTTTTTTTCTTGTTGTTTCATTGCTGTGTGTTTGTTTTCCTTCTGCCCGGCCAGGCCTGAGCTGAAGAGCTCTTCCGACTCTGTGGACTCCGGCAGCAAAACCCTCAACCTGGTGCTTCTGGGGAAGGACGGGCTGGCTATTGCTCTCAACAGGGAGATTAGGGTGAGTACTGTGAGCCTTTTTCTCTTTGTAGTGTGGGAATATTAGGGTGAGTATTGTAAGCCTTTGTCCCTTTGTAGTGTGGGGGAGATTAGGTCGGGTGAATACTGAAAAGCATCTGGGTGGTTGGCTGGTGCTCTGATGTGGTTTGGTCTTTCTTTTCTATCAAACATCTATTGTCCTTCTCTCTCCTCCTTCTTTTTTTGTGTTTGTTACTCTCTTGTAACACCTCTAATCTTCAGCATTTGTATGACCTAATTGTGTTGCAGGTACCGTGAGACTCTTACTAGATTGTCTGTATGCAATAGCAATGATGTAGTTTCGATTCCAGTGTTGGGAGGATCTTTGTCGAGCTTCTAAGTTTTTCTCCCTCTCAGGTCAGTAGCCCCACCTCCCTTATGGTCTAAATTGTTTTGATGGGGGCATAAAAAAAAGTTGAGCCTTGCTATTTCACCGTAGTTTCCAGTTTGGCTTGTTTGCTCACAAATATATGTCATCATTAGGGTGGAGAGTGTGCTGTTAGCTCACTATCTACTGTGTTGGACTGCATACAGGTGTCTAATGTTCTAGTTTCCAATGGAGTAGTAAAAATGTTTTATGTCTCAGTCCCCTAGGTGGTCTAAAATCGATAAGAGTAGGCTTTGTCCGCCACCAGCGCAAAATTCAAAATTTCCTACCAACTGAAAATGTTTCGTGTGTCCCGCGTGCTCATATGACCATATGCTGTTGCGAGCGCCGTAAAACACTTCCCCCCCCCAAAAAAAATATGTCTTGGTCGACATGATCTAAATCTTTTAGGAGGTGGGCTGCTTTGATCCTTGCTGTTTAGGCCAACCCAGGCTTGATGAGCCACACCTTCGACTGTTGTTAGTTTTCTTGAACTTTCAATTTCTGTTTTGGGTCTTCCTCGAGAGGAACATGACTTGATATCAAACATCCTGTCTCTGATGTGTTCTTGCTGTGTTAGAAAAAAACGTCAGCTCATGTCAGACCCAGACTTTTGTCATACCTGTGTCAAGACTTGGTTCAAACTTGTGTCAGACCCCCCATCTCAAACTTACGTCTAATGTGTGTCAGACTTTCAAACTTGATGCGTTTCTTTTTCTTTTTTTTTTAGAGCTTTTCATACAGCGGAAACTGGTTTCCATCAAATTTCTTTGAAACCTCACCAGAAACCTTGACAAAATAGAACGGTTTAAAAAAAAAAGATCTATCTGTTTTTAGGAAAAAGTTTTACAAGAAACAGAACCGTGACTGGATTAAATTGAGCTTGTGAAGAAAAAAATAATGTTAAAAAAATAATTTTTGATTTTAAAAATATTTTTAACGAAAGTTAATTTTTTAAATTAATATTTTTTTGTGTGGTGTTTCAGACTCTATGTACAGATGATGAGTATAGGTTAGAGAGTACAACTTACAGCTTGGACTACAGACCAATTGACGGGGACGTGAGTCGGGAGCAGAATGCTTTAGCCACGGCAAACTTCAAGCCTCATGGTGAGTATGTGTTTGTGTGTGTGTGCATGTCTGGGTCTATTTGTGTTTGTGTTATTGTGTGTGTGTGTGCGCGTATGTGTTATTGTGTGTGTGTGTGTGTGTGCATGATGTATGTTCATGTGTATATGTGTTATTGTGTGTTTATGTGTGTTGTGTATGTGCACGTGTGGGTTTATATGTATGTGTGTTATTGTGTGTGTTAATGTGCAAGATGTGTGAGTGTGTGTATGTATGTGTGTGTTTTTTTGTTATTGTGTTTGTGTGGGGGTGTGCTTGTTGGTGTGTTAATGTCTATATATATGGGAGAGTATGGATGGGTGGGGGGGGGAGTTTGTTGAATTTAAGTGTTTGAATGTGTATGAGAGAGTGAATAGGAAAGAGAAAGTTACTCAGTAAATGAGTAATGCAGTGAGTGTGCAAATGTGCCTGTATGTTTGTGTGTGGTGTGTGTGTGTGTGTTGAGCTAGGCGTGTTGGTGTGGTTTTATGTAAGTGATTCATTGAATGAAGAGTGAATGTGGGAGAGGCAAGTTGTGTGTGTGGAAGTATGTGTGGGAGGGTATATGTGTGTGAAGGGATGGGGGGAGGGTGTGTGTGAGCGTGCGTTCGTGTGTGCGTGCATGCATGTATGTGTGTATGTGTGTGTTTGTATGTGTGGCACATTCTTTGGAATGACAGCTATAAGAGTTATGGCATTGTTATTTTTTTCCCTTTTTTTCATATATGACTTGTGGGAGGACACCACTGATAGTTTTTTTTGCTTCTTTGACGTTTCCTTCTTGTTGTTTTTGTCTATTTAGTTCTTGTTTCTCCCTTTGCTTAATGACAGTTATTACATTGATATTCTTTGCCTTACACAGTCGAACTAACAAATGTAAACAAAACGTTATGTTTCTAGGATACCCTGGGAGATTCTTTTTTACATGTGTGTTTGTTTTGCAGGGTGCTTATGTGTGTACAATTCGGAGGAGACCTTGAACTATGTGAAGGACAGCCTGGAGAGGTCGCTGACCAACGACGTGGTCAAGGAAGGGGAGGCCACCCTTTCAGGCATGCCCATTGCCATCATTCAGGCCTCAAATTCTAGTCAAAGTGAGAAAGAGAACGAGCGGCTCAGCGAGAAGGGCAGGTCTATAGCAGCCAGGTGAGTGTTGTGAAAGGGAGGAGGGAGGGTTATTCTGTCATTAAGAGAGAAAGGCTCTTGTGGCTTTATACAGTGCTTCCACTCTTCCGTATTTTTACGGAAATTCGTACTTTCTGCTTGTTCCGTACTTGTTCCTCCATCATGATCTACTCCCTCTGTAAAAACCTGCGACAGCGTAGGACTGCCCAAATTCCGTAGCTAAAGATCCGTACTCGCCTTCATATCGTCTTGTATGGATATTTACGGTAATTCTCTGGGCAATAAGTTAATGTTATAGAAACCTGCGAGATTGCACATTTCCTGCTATCGGCTATTATTCCGCTGTGCCCCATGCATTCGTTGCGGTTTGGTCGGCAGTACTTTTTTACCTGCAGATTGATCAAAATCGGGATAAATTTTTGTGCCAATTTCCTCCTTTCTATCGCTCACCCATTTCTTCTGTCTATCTTCGGATTGTTGCCACGTCTGGAAAATCTGCGTGTTGATCAAGTAAATTGACTTGTGATCTTAGACAGAAAATTACTGTCCGAAAGAAACTTTTGCAAATTTTTCTAAATCTAGAAAAATGATCAATTCGAAGATTCTACGGCACAGGAACGCAATAAGGGCCGCAATGAAAGAAATTTATGCCAAGACTTCTTTCTAAAATCAAGAATAATTCTAAGTGGTGTTCCGAGGTTGTGAAATATGACATTTTTTGTATGAGTTTTTACGGTGCGCCTGCATTAGGTCTTATGAGCGCGCTCATGCAACATTTAGACGTGAAGATTGAGGAAAATGAGGGTATACGCTGGGCAACTGTATTGTGAAGGTACATGAATATCTATTCATTATTCCCAGGTTTGCCTTCTATCAATGGTGCGATTGCAAATTAATTGAATTATTATAGTAGTAATGGAACTGGAACCTGCTTTTTAACATTGCGAGCAATGGAAAGATAATTTGTAGCTGAAGAAATCAAACAAGACAAAATGTTGGCGAAGAATTAAATGTTATGGGTTGTAGGCTATCTTTTCAAAGAGGCTCTCAAATGCCATTTTCAACACTCTAAAAGCACTAAATTTCAATTTCTTCGGGGGCTTCGTCCCCTGAACCCCCACTGGGACGCTGTCCCTGGTCCCTGCTGGTTCTGTGCGGCCCCCAGACCCCCGGCAAAATTTTCCTTACATTTCAGCTTAAGCTGGTGGAAGCACTGTTTTTAGCAGCGAGATGCGTGTTGAGTAAAAAAGAGTGGAGGGGGGGGTGGGGTGGGTGGGAGGGAGAGGTTAAATTAACCTTAGAAAGTTTGATAAGAAGAATGTAATTTGATATAATCTGACTTGGGATAGTCTTCTTTACTTTCCTCTCTGTTGTTTCTATCTGTCTTACGTTTTCCTGGCACTAAATGACAATTATTGTGCTGATGTGCTTCTTTTTACTCAAACAAGTAAATTACTCAAATGCAGGTATCACGGTGAGTTCATCGTCGACTCTGAGGAGGTGGAAGAGGGTGTGCTCTTTGTGGAGGAACAGATCCATTCCGCCCTGCAGATGGTCATCCGGGGATGCAGCCCGGGACTCAGCAGCTGGTACCTCTCTGACCAGTTTGAACCGGACATCAGGTAGGAGCCGCATTCTTCTTCTCTTCTGAAGTCGACTACTTGGAGTAAAATTCGGCCCTTTGCCATTTAAAAAGTGACGTGTAACGGAGTCTGTACCCTGAGAAGTTGAAATGTTTTCATAGTCTTATGTTGTTGTCACATCTATATTGTGTTCCTCAAAGGGGCTATCTGTTGTGATATTTACTAACAGGGGGGAAAGGGAAAGGGGACTTACCCTAACAAACAGGAAAGGGGACAGAACTAATTTTACAGGAGAGAGGAGGACAACACTTGCTAAACAAGTGGGGGAGAACACTTACTTTATAGGAGAGAGGGATAGAGCTTACCTTTACAGTGGGCTTCTCTGAACTCATACTATTATTTCAAGTAATTTTGTCTCTTTTTCCACTTCTCCCTATCCCCCAGATTGTATTGCTTGATGTGTGGTGACCTGTTCCTTCTGACCACTGTCGACCACCTTGAGCCTTGAGACCTCCCCCCACCCCCCTTTCCATGCTCTATCTTGTCTCTTTCTCTTCCAGGTTGTTAATGTGCCTGGTATAAAATAACTTTGACTGTTCTTCCTGACCAGTGTCTACCACTTTGACCTCATAGGTGGTTGGAGAGTGCTCTGGGGTGGTTTGCTCCTTCTTCCCTCTCAAATCTCTATTATCATTATCTTTCCTCCATTTATTTGTATGTTACTCTGAGGTAACACCTCTTATCTTTGGCTTTTATAATTAATTGTGTCTCAAGTGCTGTGAGTGGGTGGTTGGCGGATGCTCTGGTGTGGTTTGCTCCTTCTTTCCTATCAAACATCTATAGTCTTTGTCTCCTCTCCTTCTTTTTTCTGTTTGTTACTCCCTTTTAAAACCTCTAATCTTCGGCACTTATGTGACCTTATTGTGTTGCAAATGTCGTAAAACTCTTACGAACCCCCCCCCCGACGTCACTTTTCGCCTGTTTCTGTTACCTTTAGTTTAGTTAGCATGACTCAGCAGCCCGCCGGAGCTCCCCGGCTCGGGGTCACGGGGTTAATGAGCCCTGAAGCGACTTTGCCGGTTCGCATTTTTGACTATGTTTAAAACTATATAACTTCTTCCCCATCCCACACAGCAAACCAATACGCGGATGTACTAAAAGCTCAATGTCTTGAGATTTATTCTGCGTTAGAATGGTTAATTTCTGTGCCTTAGTTTTTGTTTTAGATAAGTGTTTGTAGAGTACCCAATTTGTCCTATTTTAGTTTCAAACTTATGAATAAATGATTGTTGATTTAAAAAAGGCACGACAGATCTCTCCAAAATCTGTGTTAAACTGACTTTGAATATCATGTCTTTTACCATGAGAAATCTTAAATCTGTGCGAGTAGTAATAGTCAAGTTATAAGAGAAGAAAGATGCACATCTGCATTTTTCAACTAAAGACGATCAGTGTTAGCTCTTATTTTACTATTAAACAAGAGAAAGTTACTCTGCGTTTGTTCATGAATCAATCTGTGTCTGTGGCAGCCTGCATACAACTAAAAAGATATAATATAAGCAATTAAAAAACCCTACAAAATCGTGTTAATGCATGGGTAGAGATAAACTTCTTGTATGGATTAAAAATAATGATAGCTAACACATTCATACTTAGTTTTTGTGTCCGAAATATGAACGGACACAATTATGAACGTAAAGAAATCAGTCACATTGTCAGTTATTGCAAATGGTCATAGAAACGAAAAATAAAGCTGGAAAAGTCTGCTGCTGATTCAGTGTCCCTGAAAAGCTAGAAATTATTCTTGTAACCCAATTATGAGAAGTCATCCCTATTATTCAGTCAACTTACAAAACCTAGACTTAACAAAAGTAAGAAATTTCTGGAGTGTAACAGATACTGTTCGTGTATTACATTGAAGATGTATTCTGGCATTAAAATTGATTTGTACTTTTCATAGAGAAACTTCATGGTGACTTTTATAAATTTTCGACAAAATATGCGAATATTCACGTTTATATTAGACACATAAAGTTTTATTTGGAGGAATTACTTCATAGCGAATTGTGTGCCCGATGGATAAAGTTGCAAAACTATAGCTTTCTATTATATGCACAGATACCATTTTTTCTGAGTATCTGCACCAATGCTATGTCGTTCATGTTCCTAAAGTTCGACAGATTTTGTAGAGGCCTTTTTTTATATTGATTTTTTTTCATTCACACTAGTCCCCCAAAAATTACAATTTAGCATTGCCACACTCCAGCACGTCTAATGAAATAACCAGACAAGTTACAACGTCAGTTCTTTTTTGAGTCTCAAGAGCAGAAATGCATGCTTTGGGTGCATTAAATGAGAATTACCATAAATACAAGGATACACCTGAAATTGTACATTGAAAAGTACCAAAAATGAAGTGGGCCCAGACAGAGCGGCGATAGGGAGCTGACCCCCGTGACCCCGACGTGATAAGGCGCCCACCGGGAAACCCCTGGCGGCAAATAAAATTCCACTGCCGGTGCGCTGTGCCCCTGTTCTGTGAATTTCTTTTGAAACTAAGATGAAAGTTTGACCTCCCCTGGCCCCTGTCTTGTCTTCCCCTCCCTCTAGGTTGTCTATGTGCCTGATGTGTGGTGACCCGTTCCCCCTGGAGCTTCCCCTGGGCCCGCTTCTGAACCACGACATGTGCCGGGTGCTGGCGGACACGCCCTACTGCATCACGCTGGACCTCTTCCTGGAGCTGGCCAAGCAGAAGGTGGAGGTGGAGGTGGCCTCCTACCATGGGGGCAACCGCCTGCACCAGGGCCTGTTCCACGGACACATCCTGGTCTACTCCGCCAAGCGGAAGGCCTCGCTCGCCACACTGCGGTGAGTGATTTGGTTGAGTCAAGTCAAATACTTTTCCAGGCACCAGACAGATGATTTGGAAAATAGCTATCACTACAGGGGGGAAGGATGGAGATATATACTGTTGAACCTGCTCTAATGGTCTCCTGTGTAAGACAATTGAGGTAGTGCTTGATGAAGCCCCAATCGGACGCTCACCGTTAAAAACAATCAGGAAACAACAAATGCAGTTTTTGGGACACCTGAATAGACATATAGGTCTGGAACATCTAGCTCTTATGGGAAAATTAAAGGCAAACTTAGCAGGGGTAGGCCCAGAGCAACATACTAAGGGAACCTAAACCTTTCTATCTACCTTCTTGTTTTCTTTCTTTATTTTGATCTTCCTTTCTTCCTTTCTTTTGATGTTTTCCTTCCATCCTTTCGTTTTTCTTTTTTTTCTTTTTCTTTCCCATCTTTCATTCAATGTTTCCTTCTTGTGACAGGGCATACTCAGAGACGCTACTGGGGGTTCCCAAGCTGATCTTGGCAGTGGCAGACTCAGGCGGGGCCTCTTCTAGCTTTTTCTCCTCCGAGGTCTGCCAGGAGCTCATCCAGGAGGGCAACCAGCTGGCAGACACGTTGGGCGCCGCCTTCATGACCACCACCGCCAACTTCCCGCAGCAGAGTCAGTGATGAGTCTGCACACACGCAAATGCACACACACACATGCACATGCGCACACATACACAAACAAACACTCACACGCACATGCCCACACTCACAAACACACACACACACACACACACAAACAAAAACATTCACACTTACACAGTCACACACACACACACTCTCACACCCACACACCCACACACGCACACACCCTCTCACATAAACACATACACATTCTCATGCGTACTCTCATGCACACTCTCTGTCGCACACACACACACACACACCCACACACCCACACCCACACACACACACACACACACACACACACACACACACACACACACACACACACACACGCACACATCTTGTGCCTTTCTACATTCTTTATGCTTGTAAACATCTTGGTCTCCTTACCATTTCAGTTATGTTATGCTCCAACAGTGTAAAAAGTTTCTTGAAAATGTTTCAACTTGCCACAAAAAAATTTCTGATTTAAATGATGAGAGCAGACACTTTTATACTATTTATAGTGCAGGCTGTCTCTGATTTTTATCGAGGACTCGCAGGTCAATTGCAGCAATCGGTTTAGAACAAATAAAAAGGAGTTGACTCGTTTTTTTTTCCAGTAGCTACTAAACATCCATCATCCTTATCTCTCCTCTTTCTTTTTTGTGTTTGTTATTCTCTTGTAAAACCTTGCTCTAATCTTTTGAACTTACATTATGTAACTGTATTGCAAGTGCTGTAAAACACTTTCTAAAACTACTAAATCAATACCCGTGTTCCCTTTTGTAAAGCACTCTGAGCATTCTGTAGAGTATTGATACACGCAATGTAAAAGCAGTTATTATTACTTATTATTATTATTATTATTATTATTATTATTATGATCTTTCTTTCCAACCTGTGCAGCGGCCGTGTTCCTTCCGTTCTTCACCTCGGTGTGGCTGCAACGGGAGGACTCAGAGCTCCTGTTCCACGAGCCTTCGGAGGAGCCCTGCCCGCCAGCCTACGACGAGAAGGCCTACTACGCCTCCCGACCTCCAGCCCCTCTCCCCAAGCAGTATGCCTACCACCACACACACAAGTCCAGTACTTCAAACAGGTGAATAGTGGATGGTTGATGGGAGCTCTGGTGCGGTTTGCTCCTTCTTTCCTATCAAACATCTATCGTCCTCATCTCTCCTCCTTTTTTTATGCATTTGTTGCTCTCTAGTAACACCTTTGATCTTCTTCACTTAAAAGATCTAATTGTGTTGCTAGTGCTGTAAAACGCATACTAAAACGGAGTTCATTTAAAATATTTTTCCCCCCTGAGTGTTGATTTTTAATTAGACTGGATTGTGCTTCGGATGACTTTGATTTGGATGTTATAGAAACTTACGAGTTATTTGCCCTGAATTCGGCAATAAATGTCTGCTTCATGTTTTTGATAGGCCTTTAGTGATTATTTTGATTTTTGTTGTTGTTGTTGAGATTTTAAATTTTGCTTTTAAAAAATAAAATATTAGATCTATATATAAAATTTGGTTTTGACATGACCGTGACATGACCGATTTTGGTCATGATGATGTTATGCCATTCCTATTTTGTTTAACCCTATCCGTATGCCCTGGGGTCAATTTGTACCCCCGGATTGTATTCTTCTCATTTTAGAATACTTCTAGTGCGAAGATCTCTTTGAAACTTTCAGTATTTCTCAAAAAATCATTTTGACAAACTGCTATGCAAAGCGTACGTATGGATTAACGAGTAAATTTCCTCTTTGGAAGAGGTGGCACAGAGTTCCCCCCGTCGTATGGATACGATAGTAAAACCCGACGTATGGAGAGGGTTAAGTAATTCAATTAATCAAATTAACATTTTCATAAATCTTTTATGATTTTTATATTTTGTGTTTTTAGAAATGTATTTTGCATTTTTGTTAGTATTTTAAATCATTCTTTTCATATGTCCTACTTTGATCTTCATATGAGTTCTGCCCATCCTATTTTGTTAAAAATATAGGTTCTGATGTTTGTTTTTAAGATTTTCATTTGGTTCTTTCTGACTTCCCTGTTGTAGCACGGATTCAGAGCCTGTGTACGACCAGCCGAACCTGTTCCACTCTCGCTATTCGGACAGTGACCACGAGGCTGACCGGGGGTCAAGTGTCTCGCCGCCGCCCGGGGCCAACGAGGAGATTTACAGCGAGGTCATCATTCCAAACGGGGAGCATCTGGTGAAGCCCAGCGTTGTCAAGGCACGGAAAAACGTTTACGCTGGTGAGTGACTGACTGCTTCTGCTGCCGAAACAATTTTAGTTTTTGGAGAAGGAAAGATTTTATTACTTTTTTTCTGACCTTCTTTGTCTCCAGATAGAGGCGATTTTAAATATCATTGTCTATTGTTTTGTAATTATTATTGAATTTTTGGGTTGTTGATGCCTCTATTTTTTATTATTGTCGTTATTATTATTATTATTATTGTTATTATTATTATTATGTATTATTGTTATTATTATTATTATTTTTATGTTATCAATTACTTTTATTCATTGTTTTTTTTATTGTTGTCCTCAGTTTTATTGTTATTGTTACTGCTATTATGATGATTATTATTATTATTTTTATTATTGTATTCTTAATCAAGCCTCATTCTCTGTAGGTCTGTACTTGCTCCCTCCAGCAGCTCTGTCTCTTGTTTCCTTCAGCATGATGTCATGTTAGACAAAGCTGGGAGTTGTTCATTTTAGCTCTGTAGGGAGCTGTTTTTGTTTGGGGGGGGGGGGTATTTGGGGCCTCGGAGAGGGAAGGGAATGGGATTGTGTTGGCTGGCCATTGTCCGTCTCGTCCCTCTGTGTGACCGATGTGAAATATTCTGATGTATAAGCCCCCAAGGATTGGCTCGGGACTTGTAGCTTCGTACTAATGTCCCTTGCCTTTTCCTGTCTGTCTGTGCTCCTGGCCTTGACACACACTATGCCGACAGGCACTAGTAAGTGGGAGCACCGCAAGTCCCTTCCCATCATGCCTTCGGCTGTCTCCATGTCGCTGGACGCGGGCAGCATGATGGGCAGCACCAGCAGCAGTGGCAACAACACCATGGGGGCCACCACCACCAGCAGTAGTGGCAGCGGCAGCTTCTGCAACAACAGCCTCCCCCTTGCCGAGCTGTCTCAGCCCGTCAGGGGGAGGGCGATGAAAGACCCCCAGGAATTTTTCCGCAAGTCGTGCAGCATGAAGATTGCTGCCGAGGAGGCTGTGGAGGCAGGGGATGAGGCGGAGGAGGAAGAGGAGGAGGAGGAGGATGAGGAGAGCAAGGAGAACCGGCTCAAAGGAGCCAGAGGTGAATTCGACGTGTTCTCTTTTTGTTCTTGCCGGCTGTTTGGTGTGTAACTGTCCTCTCCTCCACTGAGTGTCATTGGTGTGTTTCAGTGCTACATGTCTGGGCACAGTGCTACTCCCTAGACTTGTTCTCACCTTTTTTTCTTTTAGTTTTGAGTGTGCTGTGGCATTGTGGTTCTTCTTGCACTGTCATTTGATATAAAGTGTTAAATGTTCTGTTTCAGACAGCATTCTCAGGGATGAGTAGTCTCCGTTTTCCTGAATTCAGTCAAGGGATTTTTTTATACCGTCTTATAAGGGCCAACAATTTTATTCCTTGTTATAATTACTGTACAGTTGTATGTACAAGGTCCCACAGCAGCTTAGGGTAGTGACAGGGAGTTGTAGTTGTCTTAGTAGTACTGCTGGTAGTAACACTGGTGGTAGTTGTAGTTGTAGTAGTAATGGTAGTAGTAGCAGACCTGCCAAGAACTCAAGGGAAAAAACTGGAGTGCTATTTAAAAAAATTTTTTTTGGCATGTTGAAGAATCCCAATTGAAGAATGGTGTTTTCCCGAACTGCCAGGTAGAATGTTCTTGTGCTGAGACTCCTCCACAAACCTCTTTCCTGGTCAGCTGGTGGCCCATGGTTGTCTGAGACACACTGAAGCTTGGGCGGCCACAGGAATCTCACTTTCCACAGAGCCTGGTTGTAACGTGGTGACTGGCGACTGTCAATGCCAAGTCAAATGCAGGTTTTAATATTGCAGCATTATTTAAAACCACTTGAAGTGAAACTGTCCCAAATGCTAAAATTATGGAAAACAACATGTGTTGTGTGTTTGCCTGGAGAAAGGTCCCAGTTGTCAGAAATTTTGAATAGCAAAATTGGGGCATGGTGGTATTATTGCAAATTCAATGCTGAACAGGCTGATTTCAAAATTTTTCAAATATTTTGAGTAGTTTTAGAGGTATGCCACATTTTGCAACACAGGGTGTATAAAAAAAAAGATCCAAAAGTATAGGAATATTACAAATTACAAAAAGCTAAATTTTCAAGCAGGACCTGGAGCATATTATATTACTTTTTTTTGGTGATGTGAAAATTAATTGGTAAAATGGACATGAGTAGTGAGATTTTTTAAAACTGGAAGGCTATACTTTCAATACAGAAGACAGACGGAATGCAAGCTGAAATAGTGTTTGTTCCAGAAAAAATAGTTTTGAAATGATGTCAACGTGGTAAATGAGGCTGAAAAAGGTGGCGCTTTTTTGTTGTAACTGATGAATAAGTGATTGTTATTTGGGGGTGGAGGGAGGGGAGACAGTTGTGGAAAGGGGAGGCGATTGATTTCAGTTGAACCTCCAGAGTGCCCATCCCTGGTTTTCTTGTGTGCTTGTCACTCTATGTGTATGTGTGCCGTGTGTAGTACACACCTTGTCAAGGAGTGCTCCCCTCAAAGAAATGCCCGTGCGAGCTAAGTGTGTAGGCTAAAAGGTTCTCCCTCTATTTCAGAAGGTTTAAATAATAAATACAAGTAACAAGTTGATATCTTCTGACTAGCCTCAAAGCTTGTTTTCAGAAAGTAAGTGTCTGTTGACTCTCTCAGAAGATAAATTCTATTGAAACTTTTCTGAACAATATGTACAGCAAGCTGCTTGCCTGCCCCCTGAGTTGTACTTGACTTTTTCATATCCGTACTTGCAGCACATGATAGGCACCAGCATCTGTGATGTTGTGGTGAGGCTCTTTGCTACTGCACACACTTGACATGAGTTCTATTCTCATAAGGGGAAATCATTTTGTTGTATAATTCCATCTATCTCGTGTGATTGTGTGTCCCACTCGATAGGGATTGGCACATACAGGCAGGGTCAAAGCAGCCGGCCTCCTAAATGATTTTAATTGTTTTGATGGTGTGAAGCATTTCCTACTATGGTTTTCAGTCAGGTAAATTTTTTTTTGTACGCCCACCTACTGGCCTGTGTGTCAACTAGAGACATGCTGTGATGAAAAATAGCTTGAGTACAGAGTTGAGTCCTGGACAGAGGATGTTTTTATTTAAAGTCTTTGGGAAATTATGTGTGAAAGAATCATTGGCTTTAGTTGTTTTCTGATTACGCCCTCCCTGCTGTTGGCGCTTAGGTTATTGAACTATATCTGTGTGCCTGGTGTGTTGCTTTTACGGCCTTGTAGAAGCGCCCTCATATCAGTGCTTAGATTTAAGAGCTTGATGTCCAAATGTAGTGATGAGAGAGGAACAGTTGTTGCATGTTGTCCTTGGAAGCTTCGAGAAACTTGCTTTTGGGGAGATCCCCATGGATGTTGTAGCTATGCATTACATCTGAAGACTTTTTCCATTTCTATATTACGAGAGAAACTGAGTGTTTTGTAAACTGTACAAATTCTTTTCTTTTTTAGTATTTTCTCCAGTTTTTTGCATGTCCAGTCGAACCTGCTCTAACAGCCACCTGTCTAAGACAATCACCTGTACAAACTGCCCACTTTCCCACTTGCGTTTTTTCATTTCATATGACACTGTCCAGAAGGTCCACCTGTCTGAGAACCATTTTCTCCTGGACAATGGGTGGCTGTCTTGGACAATTTGGGCTGTATTTTTTCCTCTCCTCATGGTCTTCTCTGTAGGCCCTACTGGACATTTTTTTTCTCCTGTGTTGTATTGGTGTTGTGGCTTAGTTCAAATTTCCGTTGAATTGTCAACTTGCTGTATTTGCCGGTGTTGAAGTTTCCCACCTGATGACAAAAAATGAGACGTTATCACAGTCTTCTATTTCATGAGTACACAGATGGACTTATTGTTTTGTCATTTTTTGCCCTTGTATCATTTTTATGTCAGTTCGATACGGCATCAGTAGTCTGTTTCCATGTCTTTGATTTCTGAGGGTTTTTTTTACGGGTGAGGGGGTCCCTTCTCTGGGTGCCTAATGAAGGATAGGATTTTTGGAATAAAGATTAATCTTGGAAACGTGGTTGAGGCTAATTATTATAATTGCGACCTGATAAAAGATATTACTCTAAACCAAAAAAAAAAAAAATGATCAACCTCGTGTTTGTATGTTTGTAAACAGTTGTCTTATCCCAAAACTTTTTTGAACTGCTATATAACTTAATGTCATTCCAAATCACATGCCCATCGGTCATTTTGAAACGATTTTCCCATTGTTGACACTTTTTACATCTCTTTTCCTTGTTTTTCAGTCATTTAGTTTGAAGTCTTTATCTTCTGTGAATTTTTTTTAGACATTTGTTTATGTGCCTGGTAAAAGGTACCGTATGACGTATTTTGAAGAATCCTGTTGACATTTGTGTGTGTGCCTGGTGAAAGGTACCAAATGACGCATTTTGAAGAATCTTATTTTTGTTTTTTTTTCACTTTCATGTGCAGAGATCATTTCTGAACAATATGATTTTTTGGAATTAAGATATCTTCAGTGGTTTTTGAGATATGAGTGATTTTGTAAGGCAGGGCACGAAAACAAAGTTTTGAAAAAAACGGCTTGAAAGTTTCCCTTTGTTTCTGCTACAAATAGATAGATCTAGGCTTCGAGGCGACCTGACAACGCATTTGCTACTCACGAACCAACTTTAAAAAGCAGCTAAGACAAAAGAACAGCTTCAAAGTGTTTATTTTACGTCTTCAAAACAAATCCACCTCCACTTTGAACAAGAATTTTCAAGAAATAGATCTAGGTTTGCGCAGGGCAGAAAAAAGCGATACCAAGTTTGCTCTAAAAAAAAACGAAAGGGTGTGGATGCCCAAAGATGCGCAAAGCTTCGCTTTGTTTACATGTTCGAGATATTCATGCGCACTACCCGCCGCTAGAGAGGTGAGAGAATGACCTAAATTTTGGTATACAATGTGATTGGGTCGACTTTATGAATGGACAAGAGAAACCATCCTCAATGTTTACTCGGAAATCCATTTTCTTACGCATTTTAGGGGGATTATACAATATACTTTGTGTTAAAAAATATATTTCAAAATGTATTTTAAAATAAAAGAAGCTCAGGTCCTTGTAAATATCCATATATTAATGGCTAAAGAATCCATTTTTAATGGAACTTAGTTTTTGTCAAAAATTATATTTTGGACCTTTGAAGCCTGATATCTCGGTTCGTGCAAATGCGTCTTTCAGTTCCTTTCACCAGGCACGCTCACATTTGTTCTCACTATCCCAAGATTTTAGTATCTTGATGGTAATGAAAAGTTCTGTGCTCTTTTTCGGAAAAGTGGGTGGTTTGTGGGTGCTCTGGTGCTGTTTGCTCCTTCTTTCTTAGCAAACTTCCATCGTCCTTATCTCTCCTTCTTTTTGTGTTTATTTCTCTCTTGTACCACCTCTAATCTTCGGCAGATAATAAATATATGGCATTATTATGTTCCAAGTTCAGTCAAACTCTTATGAAATCTTTTGAAAAATCTGTTTTTTGTTTTTATAGATGACACAGTTAAGCGTTCAAGTTGACATCATGAGGTCAGTTAGTATCATGCTTAGCTTTGATGCAGACAACCCTATTTCAAATCATCAATGGGGTTTTATCTACCGTTAGTTATGTGTAAGTTTCAATGCTCTCCTCCTACTGGGCTTGGTTCTATTGGAGAGGGATGTTTAATTGGAGTTCGGGTCCTACGATTTAGATAACCTAAAATAGTGTTTAAAAAAAAAGGTTAAAATCCGTACTATAGAATATCACACTTTTCAGATGGTATTTTGAAACGCTTTTTTGTGGGGTGGTTTTCACGTACAAGTCGTGATGCTTGATTGATGTAGCAAAGTTGACATTTATTGTTTTTCTCATGAAAATGTTACTGCTACATGCTTCATACTACTTTCAGCTTTCCTCAGTATGTTTTTTTTTTACTATTTGTATGTCAGTCTGTTTTAATAAATGTATCGGTGCATGTATGTAGCCTCTCGTTAAACTTTTCTTGCTAGCTTGATTTTGGTATTGATGTAAGATAATGCAAGATGAGCATAATTGATGTGCTGTATTTTTTAGTCG